CACCACAAATCAGAGTCAATGTGCCAGTTCTTCGATAAACGTGGTTACCCTGTTTCCGTCGTTCAAGCGGGTTACCACCGCGCTCAACTTATTGATCGACATTCAGCACTACAAACGTCGCATAAGGAAGATTCCGACCGCATTCCATTCACTCTCACGTTTCACCCTCACAACCACTCAGTTAAATCCATCATTCTTAAAAACTTTAAATTACTTCAAAACGATCCAGAGACAAGCACTATCTTTTCGCAGCCTCCGCTCATTTCATTCAAACGCGACAAAAACATAGGCAATTTTTTGGTCAGAAGTTCTTTTCAGACTAATGACCAACCAGGCACTTTTAAATGCGCTCGTGCACGATGCAAAACGTGTCCTTTCATTCACAACACTGATAAAATATCGGGACCTAAACGATCCATTAAGATCACCGATCACTTCACGTGCACCTCCGCCAATGTAATCTATTGCATAACTTGCACTTATTGCAAAAAGATATACATCGGCGAAACAGGCAGAAGACTAGGTGACCGATTCCGAGAACACCTTCGAGACGTGGAAAGGAATGACAAGGACACATCGAAACCAGTCGCTAGACATTTTAATTTACCTAATCATTCTAAGCAACATATGGCAATCTGCGGTCTTTCCTTACACTTAGGTAGCACGGAAAGCCGTAAAAATCTTGAACAAAAGCTCATCTTTCAAACCGGCAGTCTAAATCCCACAGGGATCAACGAACGCTTTTCATTCCACTAATTTATTCTTGTTTTTCTCGTTGCCATGTTCCCACCAATAACGTAGCTCCATTCTCTGCCTTTAAAAGCACACACAACCCACAATTCCTCTATTCGCTCCGACGAAGGGCTAACGCTCGAAACGTCAGCTTTTGTAATCGTTACGGTGGCCAATTTACCACTTCAACTTTGTTGATATATCCAAATTATTTCGTTACTCCCACCGACGCAGCCCCAAACAGTTTCTTTCGAAACTATCAGCCTTTATTGAAAGTAAAATGGAATGGTTAGGTATTGATCTAGATTCATAATGGGGATAACATTTCGTGACATGTTTTAGCGTGTTGTTCTTGCAACGTCCCTTGATGTTTTTTTTACATTACTTCTCAAGAACACGTTGGGCAAATTTTGCGCAGTAATGTTTACGACAAAGAACTTCCACGCAGTTTAAGACATATTTAGTCAAAAGAAAAAAAACCGAAAGTAACTATAGCTCGCCACGTGCTTATTTGTCCACTGTATTTTCAAATTCACACAGCTCCCATGTAGTGGATCAGCTATCAATCTCCCTAATTCATATTTTTCTTAAATTTCATCACTTCCTACTTGATATTGTTTGGAAATATTCTGTCTTGTTTACTCGTGGTAGTTAAGGAGTTAAAGGTATCAAGGACACAGTGGTGATTTTTGTGGGGAATGCCCCCCCCCTCCCTGGAATTTCTTTGCATCTGTACTCTTATATTTGTGCCTGTTGGGTAAGAAGAATCAGTTTCTAATTTCATCTCTAAATTTGAAAGATTTCACCATGACTACTGCAGAGGGTCTTGCGTGCCTGTTCCAGTCCGTCGAAGAACGTCCTGAGCCAGTCGATGCGGAGATAAGGGGTAAGATTCCCTCCTGGCTGAACGGAACCTTAATTAGGAATGGGCCTGGTAAGTTCGAGTGCGGCGACATCCCGTTCAATCACTGGTTCGACGGCCAAGCACTTCTGCACCGTTTCCAGATAAAGGATGGCCATGTGACCTACAGCAACAGGTTCATACGGGGCGATAATTACGCAGATTCTCTGAAACACGGCTCCGCAAATCACTTGGCATTCGGTACCTTTATTCCCCCAGATCCGTGCCGGAATATCTTTTCCCGTTTCTTCACGAAGTTTTGGCATGGGTACGTTGCTTTGGACAACACGAACGTGAATATTTTTCCTATGAAAGACAAACTGTACGCCACTACCGAGACGAACTTCTGGCATGAATTTGATCCACAGAGTTTGGAAACTCTGAATAGAGTTGACCTCACAACGGAGTTTCCAGGTAACCACAGTTGAGAGTTACGCGGGAATAGTTAGACAGATATATTCCATTATCACTATTTAACATGAAGGTTATTAGCTCGAGAGTTCTCTCGCGTGGCAAATGATCAGGGTGAAGTCGGAGTGAACCATATCACGTCGAAATCGAGAGCGAAAGACCTTATTGATTGAGCACACATCTAACAGTCGTAATTTAAAGGCAGGGTTGCTTTTATTGATTATTTATTGACTATTTATTTAAAAACGTCACTCCAAGTGATATTCACTTGACTTACTATCCAGAATAGACAGCAAGAGACATAGCCAATCAGATTGCAGCATCTGTGATAGAATGGGAGTAGATTTATATTAATCAGTCTTCTTCGGTTTTAAGGGCTCTCCTCTAGAGTCTCAGGCAAAACTTATTTATTTATCTCAAGATTTGTATATATATATAGAATATATACAGAATATATATAGAATATATACAGGTGCTAGAACAAAAGGATATAGCATCCCCTACAAGGTTCAACCCCCTTACCCAACCCCATAAACCTAAAAAAACAAAACATATATATGATCAGATAAAAGCATCTTAACAAGAACATGCGTTTCTTATATTCACTCTTCTGCATTTTTGGACAAATAATCTTGTATGAGCGAATATTATCCCCACCAAAAACATAATGCAGACGCCAGAAGAAGAAAGATTTGAGCTTGCGCTTAAAGGAGTCCAGGAAAGTAGCTAACTTAATGTCATCAGGAATACTATTCTACAAAATGGTAATTCTGTTGAAGAAAAAATCACGGAAAAGTGAGGTGCGAGTTCTGTTTGTTCTAGGATAAAGTTCAGAGCTAGCTCGGCGATAGCACCCCCTTAGAAAGGAAAAATATTCATTAAAGTGTAGTGTAAAAATTACATCTCCTTTCAAGTACTTATAAAAGAAAACTAAACCTAGATACTCTAACCAATAATTTAGCGGAAGCAAATTTAGTTTAATCAGACGATCTTTGTAACACAGATCACTGTTTCTACCTACAATAAAACGCGTGGCTCTTCTCTTTAACCTGGAAAGGGATTCCCTTTATTTAACCAAATCAGGGAGGTTCTAATTTGGTGCAGGGTTTTTCTGTTAGTTTATCTCTTGCCGTTTAAGTAATACACAGGTGTGTTTCAGAATATGGTTCCGTAAAGGATAAAGAAAAAAAAAAAGACTTTGCCCTTGTTCTTAGGCATAGGTCTCGGAAACGCTATCGTTTATAGGTTCTTTATTGAGTTCCACCTACAGTTTTCTTCTCATCATTTTGTAGCTATTTTGGAATACCTGAGAAATGCCCTTTACAACCTTCCAAGATTTTCTTTTCCAACGTGAGAACAGGAACGTAAAATGAATGATGGCAAACTGAAAGTCTCAGCGCCACTTTTAAAGTGAACGGCCCTCGATGAACCGGCTGTGGTGTTTCTTAAAGTAACGCCAGCTATTGTCCGCGCGTTTGCGGTGCTTCAGTAAGGACTTTACGAACCAGAACGCGACGCAGTTTGAAAACACCGAAACCGAGAAGGGCCCGGGGCGAGAACGCCGTCACGAGCGCGGGAAAAAACAAAGTTACCGATGCGAACGTGACGACAGAGACAGAGCTGTGCAAATCGTTTTAACTCCGCTAAACATATTTTCGTTTTATAGCTGCTGTTATACGTCATAAATGGCAACATTCAGAGAGGCAAGGGAAGCTTTATTGTTTGCCTATTCTATCCCAAATTTCGCTTTGCGACGAACCCTTTCTTGTTTTGAACGGATTCTCGGAAACAACCTCTGCATAACAGGACATCATACTCGCTTGTTCAGTACATCACATTACTGCGTGAGAAAAGAACAGTCTGCATTAGTTTGTTTTCAATGAAGAACATAAATATAGTGTAAACTCACCTTCATCGTATAGTTAAATAGGGCAGGAAATTGAATCTTCTAATGAACTAAATTGGACTTACTTGACAGTTTTCGACTTTGAAATCGAACTCGGCGGGTATGCGTGTTGTCCATTCATCGTAGCTGTAACCAATTGACCTGCAGTAAACTGCAAATTAAAATGTTTGTTTGGTATTTTTTACAATAAATAACACTTTCATGGACTCAGAAAAACAGTTTTGCCTATGAAGTAGCATAAGAAAATTTAATTCTAGTTCAAATTCATTATAAACTACTCACGTTTTCTGGAAACGCTGCAAGTGCTAATCTCGTGTTCTGAACGTGAAGAAGACGCGTTGCAGTTTGGCGTCAAGCATGCGCAGTGAAGCACTGTGTGAGCAAATTACATCCGGTGACGTTTCAGGCTGCGACGCGTTATGGTTCATAAAGTCCTTACTCTCAAGAACACGACGCAATGCTCCGATTGAAGTAGATTCATGGCCAAAGCAATTTATATGAGGAATGTCTCAGGAGGCGGTGACCTTTTCCAAGCTGTAATGAATTGAGAAACAAAACGATCCGTCAGAAAATGAACAAGATACTTACTTCCGTACCAATACTCATGGTCTTAAAATAAGTGAGGAGAATTTGCTACCTTTCTATAATCAAGAAATCGATAGATATTCTAGTCTTCTCGGATAAGGACGAATCAACTGCAGGCCCCGTCTCCTGCAGGGTTAGGGGTAGGAGACGTTAATTTCCCACGCACGAGATTACTGTGTTGTGGATGTCCTCCCCTGGGGTGGGATGGGTTGGAATTGGCCCTTAAAAGCCCCCATGGGGAGTAGTCAACTAACGTATGTATGTATGTATGCATGTATGCATGCATGTATGCATGTATGCATGCATGTATGCATGTATGCATGCATGCATGTATGTATGTAGTTTTCATTTAAACAACCCATTTTTTGACTATAAGGTGCTTTTTCATAGGCGATGCCAGAATCAATATCGCAGCCGCTCATCCTCAGATAACCCGTGATGGTTCTGTTCTTAACGTTTCCATCCAATTTGGTCCCTCCTCCTCCTACAACATCTTCCAGATACCACCATCCTCTGGGAAATCGGACGAGAAACCTTTAGATGGCGGTAAAGTCCTTTGTTCCATTCCGCAAGCCAGTGGCCTTGGCTACATGCACAGCTTCGTTCTCACGGAGAATTATCTTGTACTCACCGAAACACCGTTATCGTGGAATTTATTGCGAATTCTGACGACCAGATTGTTCGAGTCAAGTTTTGCGGATTGGCTCCACTGGAATCCGAACCAACCCTCAAGGTTTCTAGTAATCGACAGGAATAAAGGAAAACATGTTGGTGTCTTCACAACAGAGCCGTTTTTCGTGTTTCACCACGTCAACGCTTTCGAAAAAGACGGCAAGATTCATCTCGACGCTTGCTGTTACCAAGACAGTCAAATTATCGACGATCTTTACCTACATAACGTGCGAACCCCCAAGAAGACTGTCAAAAGGAAAGTTCCCCTTGCAGAAGTTCGTCGCTACGAGCTTCCCCTGGCAGAACTCGGCGGAAAGGCAAAGGAGAAGAAATCTCTTGCTAAGCGGGCAGATGGGCTTGACTACATTTTATTGAACGCAGGGCTAGACTTGCCCCAGTTCAATTATGCTGAGAAGAACGGCAAAGAGTACAAGTTCGTCTACGGCGTGGGAACGAAGGAGTTTGTTTTTGACCATTTGATCAAGGTCAATGTCGAGACGAAGGAGGGCGTCACATGGGAGGAGCCCGAGGGATTTACTTCTGAGCCTGTGTTCGTGAAAAAGCCTGATGGGAAGGATGAAGATGACGGTGTAGTTCTGTCGTCCGTGATAAATACCCGTGATCAGACCACCTCCCTATTGGTGCTGAACGCGAAAGATTTCAAAGAGCTGGGCCGAGCGATTGTAAATGGAGTTACTCCGATGAATCTTCATGGCTTGTTTCAGAAATAACTCTATTTGCTACTGAGGCAGCCAAGTTTATATCATAATAATGAATAATTAATAATAATAGTTTTAAAACTTATAGAGCGCAAATGAACATTAAAATATGATCAAATGCGCGTATCTTCTTTCTGAATGTTATTCAGGCCAGCAGCTGAACTTCTAAAATTCTTCCTACAGTTATGAAACCAACTTTTTGGCATGTCAGTGCCCTTGAAAGTCTTAGCTTTGTATTTAAGTCTTCTAATTTAGAATTACTACCTGCTATTTGTAAACACTGTATTCAGTGTTGTGCGAAAAGCTTTGCTGTAGTTTTGAGGCTATCACTGTAGAATGAATGTCCTAAGGAACATTGTAGTCGCTTAACAGACCCACTCCTTAAAGCCTTCCAAGGCAGGCTGTGATACTAAATGTAAACCAAAGGGTGTTAGAAGTTGTTCTTGGTAAAAAAAATACTTGATTTTCTTGTGAAATTTTTTTTTTGAATGGGCCGGTACGGAAAGTCTGTCGTCAAAAGTGTACAAAAAAGTGATCGTTTAAAAGAAACATTTTGGACCAAAGATACAGTGCAAATAAGAAAAAAATTTATGGAAAATACGTCAGATGTGGCTAAAAGGATATATGGAAATGATTTTTCACCTGATGTGCTAGGAAAGAAGAAAGTGCATCTATTAACCCAGCAAAATATTTGTCATTGAGGAGGGCAACTTTGAAATAAAGTCACACCAGTTCATAAAAAGTGATTTGTCCGTTTGGTAATTCATTTGTGCGGGGACTGGGATTAATCCCGACGGTATTAGAGGCATTTAAATACGCCATTTGGTGTGTAAAGATTATATAATCGTGTAATCAACAGGAGAAGAGTGTGCCAGAATTTTTGACTGTTTTGAACTCGTGGCCTGAGGTGAAGAATTAGAAGGCTAGGTGTCGACACATGAAATGGAACAATTTGCATTTTTTTACAAAAGTCAAAAATTCTGGTACATTCTTCTCCTTTTAATTACACGATTATTTAATCTTTACACACCAAAGGGCGTATTTAAATGCTTCTAATCCCCTCGGGATTAGCTCCAGTCCCCGCACAAATGAATTACCAAATGGGCAAATCAGGAAGTACAAATGAGTAAGAAACCCTTAGTGAATTAATTTTTCTCGATAAAAATGTGAAAGCCACTGGCTACTCTACAAATATTAGAAGACCTCTCCAACCCACAGTCAGAATTTTAATGGTTGCTAATGATTGGACCGATATGTAGAGTGATTTTGGTTTTGCTCTAATTTAACATGTGGTTTGTCCAGAAACTCGCGCCATTCCTCCACCGTCCAGTCTGACTCTAAATCAAATATAGCCAGCTAAATAAACGATTACGAACTTGTAACGCCAACTCTTCCGAATAAAACGCCTGCACTGTGGGCTAACGATGAACCAAAAACGAATCTCTCCTTAAAATAGCCGTCTTTTTTCGAGTAGAAAGGTGAGGAGAAGAAATTAGAAGAAATGTATGGCAGACAGAAGGAAGAATTTATTTTTACTCAGCCCGAGGTATAACTTCGGCTTAATTTTTTTTTTTTTTTTTTTTTTTGCGTTCAGTCACAAAACGCAGTTCCACTACAGCGCATGCGTGAAGTGTAAGCGCATGCGTAGAATGAACCCTAGAGCGCATGGTTTAAAGCAATGGCTGCCTTCGGGACAATTCCAGGCGGAGTGCGCACTCCGATTGCATTGCATTGTGGTAGCGTTATTTTCAATATGGCGGTAAAAGCGGTAGAAATGGGCAGAGTTTGACTGAATATTCCGTAAAAGGTAGGCCATTTCTTTTCCCTTTCACTATAGCTAGATATGATTTGATGTATTTTGAACGTGTAGAAGTATTTTTCGCGCGTGTTTGTCACGTATGATATCGTTCTCAAGGACAAACGCAAGCAATGTTTTTTAGCATGTAATTTGAGACCGGTTTTCCAAAAGATCAAATTCGTTGTGTGTCGTAGTTTGAAGCCTTTCAAAGATTTGTATGGCCACTTTGATCCCTTCTTCAACAGCTCTGACCAAACGCGCTCAAACGCGCTCCAACGGTACAAATGTTTCATGCATTTTAAGTGATGGCGTTTGAGACCATTTTGTGGAGCGAAAAGGCCCATTGTTGCGTTTAGTGTGTTGCCTTAGATAGCGTTACTACTGCAAGGACATTTATCTATCGTGTTGAAAATCTCCTTTCCTATGTGAAGGAAAATTAACTAATCGCAGCGTTGTATGGTAAATCTTCTATCTTGATCACTGAATGAAGGACAGTTTAATTAGAGCAATGAAAAGAGTCACTTGATCTATGAAAACCTCTACCTACTTTTGCGGACGAAACAAAAATATTCAAGGCAATTAAGTCGCCATGCGATTCAAAAGATCTCCAAGAAGACCTCTCTAACCTTGTTTCTTGGTCCAACTCTGCTGGAATCCCGTTTAACTACAGCAAATGCAAAGCGCAACGTGTCACGAGGAAGGTGAATCCTGTGCGCCATAACTACTGACATGGGCGGAACAGACATCGAAATCACCAAAGTAGAAAAAGACCTGGGCGTACTCGTCACAGACGACTTAACCTGGACGAAGCAAGCTAGCGAACAATGCGCAAAAGCCAACAAACTGCTAGGGTTTATAAGGCGCAACACAAAATTCATCAAGAGTGGCATAGTGAGAAGATCTATATACCTTTCTCTAGTAAGGTCTTATTTTGGTTATGCAACCCAAGTATGGAACCCTCAGTCGAGGAAGATAGAGCGAGTTCAGAGGCGTGCGTCGAAGTTTATCAGGGCTTGCCCTTTCAATGTGAAGAATCTTACAGAAGCAGGCTAATAAAACTGAACTTTCTCCCAATCTCCTACTGGCATGAACTACTGGACAAGATTTTCTTTTTTAAAGCAGTAACTGGCTTAGAATATGTAAATTCTGAAGTTCTCTCCCAAATCCGTTCAGCTCGTACCACTAGATCTAATAGCAATCCTAATGTCATTCACTTTCTGCAAAGATGTCAAACAACGACCTTTCAAAGATCGTTTTCAATAGAACTGTCAGAATTTGGAACTGCCTTGCCAACGATTTGGAACTCTCCTTAAACTTCAATATTAATCGATTCAAGTCTATCCTGTACCAATACTATTTTACCGCTCTATCAAAGTGGTATGACCCTGAGGACGCCAAAACCTGGAAATCAATCTGTCCTTCTTGTAATGTAACCTGTAATTTGTCTGTAAGTGTTCGTTGCTGTTTTTGATCTTGTATTTATAAATATTTTGTAATATCGCTTTTAAATTGGGACCACAGTAATTAGCTGTCGTGGCACCCCTGCCTGTATTTGTTGTAATATTTTTCTTATTGTATATATATGTTCCTATTGATATTTTTGTATGTATATTTTTATTAATATTTTTCTTATTGTATATATATTCAGGCGAAACTAATAAAATAAAATAAAATACCTTGTGTGAGGCGACACGCCGGAAAGGCGGAAAGCAAAAGGCAGTCGACCGTTGAAAGGTGTTGATAGGCCTGTGTGTCTCCTACCATTCGCTAGCGCTTTTAAATCTTCTACCGTGACAAAAAGAATTATAACATAACCAAAGTAAAGCGCGCGCTCTGATTGGTCAATTTAGCGTCCCCCATTTGCCCATGGGTGTACGCTGCTGACGTGAGCAAATGCAAAGACTATTTTTCCGCGCGCGCTTGTTTTTTCTGGTCACGTAAGATTTGTTAAATAAAAGGGAACTCTTTAGCTACAATGTATCAATGTTATGTTATAAAACAAATGGTAAACACCACAGCGTACACTATTGAGTTATGGATGCACTTGGGAGGTTTGCTAAGCACTCAAGAAGCTAGAGTCGCTCTCGGCTATCGCCTCGAGCGACTCTTACGCTTCTTTCGTGCTTAGCAACCTCCCGCGTGCATCCATAACTCAATAGTGTACGCTGTGGTGTTTACCATTTGTTAATTAAAGGCAAATGTAAAGTCACTCAGTACAACGGCAACAAAATCACAACTCACAGCAATCCAGGCATTGCAAGGACATGTCTGGAGTAACAAAAATGAGTCACAAACTATGCCTGCTTACAAAAGAAAAACCTCGAGCGAGAAAAGCACTGAGAAAGGTTAAATAGTTCTAAAGCATGGCACCCTGCAGTATGGTCCTGTATGCCTGGGAGTCTCTGATGTATCGTGTATTGAAGCGCAGGATCCTTAATAAGTCGGTCAACCTTGGTTGGTTATTATCAGTGACCAGTATATGTAGTGACTATCCTTTCAGTGTACGCCAAATGATCATGAACGCAAGTGAAAGTTGCAGATTGCTTAACATTATAAGTAAGTAGAAAGATTGTACCATTGCGTTCTTCTTCGTTTCCTCGGGAAAATTTAAAATGAGTCCCAATAAATTAAGATTTTTGACATGTTGGACTCTCTTGTTGATGCTACTATAGAGAACTGAACAGAAAACCGTGCGAGAGTGTCTCGTTTAGTCACTCAGATCACGCGACTTACTATTTGTTTCCATGACGTCCTAACATCGGTATCGATATCGATATCGAAGAAAAAAGTAAATTTCGTACTCGGTATCGTATCGATTCGAAAAAGCCGTATCGGCCCATCCTCACTTTTCCTTTTACGACCATGATGCAACGCAATCAGAGTGCGTACACCGCCTGGGACAATTCCTTGCTTGATGTACGCGAAAGAAATTCGATGGCTAGTACGCCCACTACATCTACAAAGTCACTCACCGTTCGCGGTAGACCCACACAAAAACTTGTGGAGCGTTTTGGGAACGGGTCGGTCCGCGAACTTTACAAGAGATCAATTTACGAGCGATACTTAACGAGTGAACCTTCTATCGGGGAATATCAAGCGAAACCTATCTCATATTATGTTTACTTGTAAACACAACCGTGTATTTAGACGTGATCGAGAACCCAGTCGAATACTAGAAGCTACTCTGAAACGTCTCAGAAGAAAGGGCTATGGTATTTCGAGGACTAGATTGGACTGGACTGGACTAGTAAAACGAGGACTAGTAAAACGAGGACTAGTAAAACGAGGACTAGTAAAGCGTGGACTAGTAAAGCGCGGAATAGTAAAACGCGGAATTAGCAACAACAACAACAAAAAAAACAATTTCATACGAAGGCGATCACAAGACTTAATGGCGAGCCAATTTAGTGATTGACAATCCCTGTTTGACCTTTAAGCTACAAATGGGTTTGACATGCGCCAGATACAAACCATTTTATAAGTTTAGGCTAAGAAAGAATTTTATTCAGCGCCAGTTCAAAATCCTAAAATACACTTTCGTAGAAACGCAGGAATTCGCTGAATAAAAGTCGCATTAAATCTCCTTGTGTCTAGGTAGAGTCTCATTGACTTCAGCTTTTCGGTGGAAGAAAAACCGATTTACACACGCCATTACAGAAAACAAACNATCACGTACCGTCATCACTTTACACCAGCTGCGTACTGTGATCACTTTGTGTAAAAACATGGAGACTGATGCTTCCCAGTCTCATGCCGGCAAAAAGGTAAATTCTTATTCAACAGAATTTAAACTAGAAGCCGTACGGTTTGCCGTAGAATGCAATAGTAACTATCAAGCAGCGAAGAAGTTCAATGTGGACCGGAAGAGAATACGAGAGTGGCGAGCAAACCAGAGTAAATTAGAATCTGCTAGTTGCAAGCGAAAGCGACTTGCCGGGGCGGGAAGAA